ATTCACCAAAATTTTGAACAAAAAATAAATAAAAAACACACACAAGAAACACACTAAGAATGAATGTAAATTTTTTAAACTTTAGCTAATATGCCTTGAGCTTTAGAAACCTCGTTTTAACAACAATACCAACAACTTAACCAAACCTTATTAGTATTCACTAAATATAAGAGTTTTTATAGTGAAACAATACGAAGGGTATTCGCGGTGAGAACAATTTTTCCTTCTAAAAGAAAATAATTGTCAATTTGCATTACTCTTCCATGTTTGCTTTTTGGGACTATTATAATGTACTTATGGTTTGTTTCATGGAGAAAAACTGAATTTGTATTCCCAAATTACAATCAAACCATTATATTTATAGAATATATATATATATATGTACGTGTAAGTAGTATTCAAGTCAATTAAAAGCTGATCAAAAGGTTTGCTCTGATTAAAGTATTCAACTATAAAAATAGTTCGTAATGCTGCCGGGAATCAACCATTTAACTACATGGTTGAGTGATATATATATATATACGTATCGAGATACATATACATACATGAGTATCTACAAATATCTAGATGATGATCAGCAATTGTTGAAGGACAAAGCACGAGAGAGGTAACGGTGGTGGTGGCGATGATGAGATTGATGATGTTGATTGGATTCCTTCTCAATCATCCACCGGAGATCAAGGAAATCGTCGACGGAAGACGGCAGTTTCAGAGGACCGGCGGTGTGGTAGCCGTATACCTCATGAGCTTTATCCAGTAGCGGCTTGAAGAGAGGATGGTGGAGATGCGAGATCGGAATTTCAAATCTGTGAAATCCTCCGTCGTCTCCCTCCGTCCCAACTCTTACTCCAACCCACCCTTTCTTCACTTTCAATTTCTTCTCCTCATCTCCATTAGCTTCCTGCGTCTTCTTCCGCATAATCCAGTACGTGATTAATCTTTTCTGTATTTTCTTTTGGGAATTCAACTGAAATCAGCGAGAGAATTTGGATTTTGGAAATCAGTGTGTAATCTTGGGCATAAGGTGTCTGTATATTTATTTGATGATAAGTATGTGACTTCATTTCTATATATAGATTAAATATAAAAAAAAAATTAATAAGACAAAAACTTGATTTAAAAAAAATAAATAAAAAATCATATACCAAAATTTAAATTTTAAAATTAAATATTATGCCACGTTTTAATTGGTCAATAAAATGTCTTATTGCATGCACTTTTAACAAGGGCTTTTATTGGGCGTTCCTTTCTGTGCCGGCCCCCTTCACTTTTTATGCACGCTGTGTATCTTTTTGTAGGACAAAAATGTAATTTCCCATTATAATAATGTTTTATGTATTTTATATTATACGGGTTTATTGTTAATTAATTTAATTAATCAATTCATAATTTGTTTTAAGCAAAAAGAGGGTGCCCCATTACAAGAATTAGTCCAAAAGACGATTATTCTTAAACCTTTTTATTCGTCATTAGTACGGTTTGTGTCCTTGTAATTGTACACCTTACAAGATTAAACATTAAATATCTTTTCCTAACCACATAAATTAACACTAAATATTTATTAATTGTATTGATACGTCTAAAGATTAACAAAGACCATATAAATAATCTCAAAATGAGTATCTACATTGGAGCACTAATTATATATAATTACAATACAATATAAATAAATAGATAAAATAAATTTGAAGAAAGTAAAAAAAATGTTTATTTAATTTTTTAAAATTTTAATCACCTTTGATAGTGGAGTGGAGTCGTTTTGAGGTTTAAACGGCATGCCGGGGGGGTCCATAAAGCCAATAGGGTCGGCCATGGATGCACCTTTCTCCTCTCTTACTAATAATTTCCTTCTGCCTTTTTTTTCTTCTTAATTTATTTATATATAAAATACATAAAAAAATATATTACTTAATTTATTTATATAAAATACCATCTGTGATGAACTCATTTTAATCCAGATTTACGGTAGTAAATAAAACGAAACAAATGTAATTAGATGGTAAAGAAATTAATTAACGATGCTAGAGATAGATTATTACTTAATTAAATAGTTAATATGTTTATTTTTTATATATAAAAAATTATAAATTTAAATCAAAATATTTTAATTGACGAATATACTAATATCTATTAAATAATTAAAAATGATAAAAGTTAAACGTTGTGCACGTGAAATTTCATTAATTAGAATGTAATGACCAATAATATGAAATAAATTGTGTTTGAATATTATTTTTTTATTATATTATAATAAATATATATGTATCATTTAATTAATTAAAAAATTTAAAATAATAAAAGTTGAATATTATATATAAAATTAATTAGAACGAGAATACCAACACATGAAATTAATTATGAATGCTCACGAAATAAAAGAGGTTTAGGACCCATTAACGACAGTTATGTCAATATACATGTGAGGTCCTAAAGGCTTTGACTCCCCAAAAGTCAACGTACGACTTCCAAATGCAAATGACTTCAATATTGTACGCATTGAAAGTCAACGTATCTCCAAGTGATTAGGCTGTTCATGATTGATGATGATGCTATTTTTATTTATTTATTATTATTTTTAAATCAAGATGCCTGGAATAAAATCAATATTCCACTTAGATCGAATAATTAGTTGGTTTAGTGTTTTAAGTAATTTAAAAATTTATAGAAAATAAGTTGAAAATTATCAACTTTCATAATTTTCTGATATTAAAAAATAATTAGATAAGTGAAAATTACATTCGTGCCATAATAAATAGCATTTTTTGGGACAATATTATAATGTTTATATATATAGTAGTAAATATAACAGACTATAAATATATCATATTATATGTTTTGAGAATGATTTATGTATCGAATGGTTTAAAATACAGATTTTAGTTTGAAGTACTTACAACAGATAGAAGAGTTTCTTTATAAAAGATTGTAGATAGAAGTGTGAACAAAGATTTTTTTTTTTTAAAAGGCAGAAGGATGGAGGCAGTCATGGTGGATTTGAAGTGATAAAAAGAAGCGATTTGGAATTGAGAGGGAAGAGGTGGAGATGATCGAGAAAGCTATAAAAATAATTTTATGTGTTAGATTCATTTGAAACCTAAAATGTAACGATTCGGAACTAAAAAAAAAATAAATTATAAATTTGAATACGGAAGCGAAATAATAGTATTAGGGTTTACATTCTTTACACAATAATTCAGAATACTTAATAGAGTTACGTGGTCACATTTTTCTTAATTTCATCATCCACTTATTTTTCTTAATTTTTACATTAAATAAAAATTTATAAATTTAAAAATTATATTTTATACGTTAATTTTAAATATTTTAAAATTAATTCTGAGTATTACATAAAAGATAATAACTACCTTAAATTAGCTAAATGTATCATAAGGTGATAATAATTCTTTAAATTTTTTATTTTTATATATTAAATTATGTTAACCATGGTCATAATTGCACAAAATTTACCAATCATGTAACGACCCAACGAAATAAGAAGTTAAAATTTACATATCTTAAACAATAACTTAAAATTACTAAACAAACATCACGGAATGAATTCTCTGAAAAAAATATGAGAATTAAGAAAAATAAAGGAAAATATAACGTATCTACCATCTACTCGCAATCTTCTTACAGATCGGCCTCGGGAAGCAGATCCTCTTGATCTGAAATGGTTAAAGAATGAATGAGTTACACTAGCCCAGTAAGAACATCACACTATATGACCGACAAAGAAGTAAAGACTGTTAGAAAAATCAAAATAATTAATAGAGCAGTAGATTTAAACAAATATATTTATTAACAATAAAACCATTTACCCTTTTACTTACCATCGGAGAATTTATGAAAACAACCTATAAAGACATAACATCATACAGATTATAACTTCATACAAAATTAATAACATAGAATATATCATAAATTTATATTCATTAACAATAACTAAATCATAACCGTTTCTCGTTTTACCAGCTTACTAATATCCATGGGAATCCATAGGAGTGTCCCTGTTACACATAAACCCTTTTCCTTAACAATTTTAATTACATAGTCATCCCCATACCCCGTCCGGTATGAGCGCCAAGATATTAAATCTCAATACCCCTGTAACACCCCAAAAAGACCTTTATTTTATTTTTTAGAATTGTATTTGATTTTTTTTTGCTACTATTTTTATTTTAATTATTAATTAATAAAAAATGTTATAATTTAATTTATTTTTATTTAATGGGAATAAAAATATCAATAATGATAAAAATGGATAAAATTATTTTTGGGAATTAATTAAAAATAATTTTTTTAAAAAAGAGTGAAATTTTGGATTATGATGGTATTTTTGAAAGAAAAATCAAAAATTGGGGGTCAAAATGCAATTTAAAAAAATTATGCCATGTCAGCAGCTCAGTCAGCAGCCTCGGCCAACCAGGACACGCCGCGTGGCAAGGACACTGGCGCGGGAGGCCACGCGGGACAGAGCCACGTGGGCGATCTGAGTGCACGCGATCGAACGGTCCAGATCTCATTCGTGCGGACGGCCCAGATCTCACGTGCACGGACGACCCAAATCTCACGCGTGCGGATGACCCAGATTGAATCACGCACGGACGGCCCAGATCGCATTGCGATGGATGGCCTAGATTTATTTCTATTTTAATCGCGATCGGACGGCCCAGATTAAAAGAGGAATGTTATAAATAACCTCACCCACACCCAACCCCAAGCCCTAGCTGCCAGTACCATCGCTAGAGAAGAAGACCCAGTCACCGGAGGAGTCGGCTGCCGCCACCCGCCGCCGCACCGGAGAATTTTCTGACTGCCAAACGATGTAAATTTTCTCCCATTGGCTCATTTTTCGATGCTGAATTTGCTTATGGCCAAATTGGAGCCAATCCACCGGATTATCGGCCGAAAAACACCTCCGAAGTCCAGCGGCTTTCCTCAGTTTTTGCCTCCGATGAGGCCCTTCCTGGTATCCGTTTAGATAAGACGACAGCATCACTAGATATCTTGGGAGATGATGAACGGACCGGGTCTGTAGAGAACCCTACCGGAAACGTGGTCTCTCATATCGGACGGAGTATGAAGACCTTGTGTGTTTTGACGTCCATACCGCATGAGGTATGGGGACGACCCGTTTTACCCTCATACCGGACGGGGTATGGGGACGGCTCTGAATCAAGTTATCAATGTGAATGGTTCACGTGTAACGGGGACCCCTATGGATCCCCATGGATACTAGTAGGCTGATAAAAGAGAAAAATTGTTACCTGATGATTGAAATACAAAAGCATGATATGTGTTATATTGCAGAGTGTGCGTGTCTTATGATATTTATGATGTAATTATTTTCATAAATTGTTTTCATGAATCTCACTGAGGTAGGTGGACAGTAAAATGTTTTATTATTGATAAATGAGTTTGTTATAAATTATGCTCCATTGGTCGTTTTTGTTTTCTACCAACCTTTACTTCTGTGACAGTGAGATAGTGTGATGTCTTTACTGGGCTAGTGTAGCTCATTCCTTACTTA